GAGAGAAAGAGGTAAAGATCAACTACTGCTCCTCAGTTACCTCCCTCAATGCACTCTAACCCATCACATCTCAGCCCTGGATTCTCTATTCTCTCCCCTTCCCCCATCCTCCAGCCTCAGACCCATCATTCCCTGTGCTTGTTGTCCAAACCCCTATCCAGGTTCAGTTCCCCTTTTCAGGTTCCCTCACCCCCCACCACCCTGATTCTAACTCCCATCACTTATACCTCATCTGAGATCTGAGAACCAAATGTGACCCAGGTACCTGCAAGAGAGAAGCCAGGCACATGAGAACTGCAGGAGCAGACCATGAAAGAATGCCCCCCTTTCCTTAATTCCTATTCTAACTCACCCAGGCCAAGACAGGATACCCGAAGACCAGACTTCCCTAGGTTCCTGCAAGATATAGAAGCAGCGGGAAGGGGTTGAACCTCCATTATGGATCTAGATTATCGGCCCCCAGCTCCTCTTCTTCCAGACTGAGAAGACCTCAGGTGTCTCAGTCCAAAGAAACTAAACCTAGTGGGCCTATAGGATTGGGCAAGTGCTATCTCCAGAGCAGAGGCCCTAGGAATTTTGTCAAAAGGACAAGTCAACCAATAAGTGAGTGTTCCTCTGAAGCCACTGTCCAGTGTCTCCATTCTTTTTTTTTTTTTTGAGACGGAATCTCGCTCTGTCACCCAGGCTGGAGTGTAGTGGCACGATCTCAGCTCACTATAGCCCTCACCTTCTGGGTTCAAGCGATTCTCCTGCCTCAGCCTCCCGAGTAGCTTGGACTACAGGTGCGTGCCACCATGCCCAGCTAATTTTTGTATTTTTAGTAGAGATGGGGTTTCACCATATTGGCCACGTTGGTCTCAATCTCCTGACCTTGTGATCCACCTGTCTCGGCCCCCCAAAGTGCTGGGATTACAGGCATGATCCATCATGCCTGACCATGCCTCTTATCACATTGAAGATGTGTGTCTGATTTTTCTTTCTGGGGTCTTGTCTGTGTTTGAGTCATCTCTGGGATGTGTGCAGCGAGGGTCTGGGAGGAATGTGGTTGGTTGATTGTGGTAAGTTTGTGAGACCAGGCCCTCAGGCAGAGTGCTGTGCCAAATGGCAGACACCAGGTTGGAAGAGGTAAACCAAGTCAAGCTCAGGCATTCAGACAGGCAAGGGTCCCTGGCTAGGCGAGGCAGATGGGCCTGGAAGAAAGGCAGACTGGGGACCTGGGAGGAGGGGGAAGACCGGAAAGCCTGGTTCTCCCTCTCCACTCCCTCTGTTCCTGTTAGCTTGTGAAGACTGTCTCTGAACCAATGAGCCCCCTCCTCCTCCCAAAGCCCCCTCCTCTTCCCAAAGCCCCCAACTCAGATGTCAGCTCAGCTTGCCAATCAGGGCCACCATATAGAGGGGATCAGATTCCTCAGGTGACAAAGCAGGTCAGATCAGTGACCTCAGCTCACTCTAAGCAGGCCCCTCCTCTACCCCCCACTTCAAGTTCTGAGCCTCTGGCCTGACAGTCCCCTGAGATAAAGTCGGTTACATTTCAGTCTACCCAGATCCTGTCCCTCAGCATGGAGACGAAAAATGTGGTCCATCCTTCCCATGGGCCCCATTCTCCTTGCGCCCAAGAAAGGTCACAGGAGACCTAGCCCTTGGGGCAGGCGGGGGCAGTATCTGGGTCATGCACCCTGAGCCGGCCAGAGAGAGAAGCCAATTCCCTCCCTCCACTCCCCAGGACACAGACCCAAGGACATGCCATTGGAGAGGGGTGCAGCCTGGAGATCCGTGTAGCATGGAGATCTGTGCATCCCTGACCTTCCCAGGGGTAAGGAGGGAAGCTCAGGGGCATCCCCTGGGTCTGACAGGACCCTGTCAACCTTGGTAAACTTGATTCTCTCCTAGTCAGGGGTATCGACGGAGACCAGAAGAGGGAAAAAGTGAAGGAGTGCCGGAGACGGGAAGAGATGGAAAGAAGGGAGACCTACTTAGTGAAGTTTGAAGGGGTCTTGGCGGCCATCTCAAGAAGCCTCAGGGGTCCCGAAAGGAAAGCGGAAGGGGTGGGCTGCCCGGCCACCCCCATACCTGTATTTCATGCCAGTGCCTCGGCCGGTGCTCTCTCGGAGGGCCCCAGCGGGCGCTGGGGGTCTGGGAACCAGTGCAGCTCGGGCTTTGGGGCCAGACCCTCCACCCCCTGGAGGATTCCCATGCCCCCCGCCGGCCGGCCCGCCATTACCGCCCCCAGGGCCCGGCCGGGGTCCACACAGACGGTCCTCACTGCTCCGGCTGCGAAGGTTCTGCTCGGTACACGCGATAGACACCTGCATGCCGGCTGGCCGGGGCGGGGGAGGGGGCTCCGAGGGGACGGGAGGCGGGCAGCAGGGAAGCCTAAGCGCGGACTACCCGGGGCGTAGTTGGGCGAGCCCCGCCAGAGCGGGAAGGCTGAGGAGGCTGCAGCGGGAGCTGCCAGGCAGGATCGGGCCCGCGGGGGCGGGCTGCTGGAGGTCGCGAGGTTGGCGGCGGGAGGGGAAAAATGCGGGGTAGGGGGGCGCCAGGAGTGGAGATACTGTTACAGGGGACACAGGTGCAAGGAGTAGGAGGGGGAAATGGATGAGGGTAAAGGTCGAGGATGAGGTAGAGGTTTCGGAGGATAAGGACCCAAGGGGAAGAGAGGAGGGAGAGAGATGACACTTCAGCGCAAACCGCAGCGGGACCCGCTGGGCTCCCAGCAGCGTCGGCAGCGGGCCCAGCTCATCAGCATGCAGGCACCGCCTCCTCATCTGCATAGAGCCACCCGCCTCCCCGCCAAAACTGCCGCTCATCTGCATAAGCCCCGCCTGCCGAAGGCTCCGCAGCTTGAATATTTTCTGAGCGGAATCCAGAAGGGTGGCTCCTGCACCCTCTGGGACACAAGGCCTGTCAGGCTTCCCCTGGCCCAGTGGTTCTCAATCGGGAGGGACTGTCTCCCAGGGGAATTTTGGCAAGGTTTGGAGACATTTTTTATTTCACACCTGGGGATGCAGAGGGACGTACTATCACCATCTAGTGAGTGGTGGCCAGGGATACTCCTAAAATCTTGCGAAGCACAGGTCAGCCACCACAGTAAAGAATTATCCAGCCCAAAGTATCAATATTGCCACGGCTGAGAAACCCATCCACAAAGCCACTTCCTAGCCTTCAACGGGGTGTGTCTGTCTTACTTTCCACCTTCATTCGTGGGGCAAGACTGAGAGGGCCCTCAAACCAACATGCTCAGGCCGCAGAGAGTGACAAAAAGTTTATTCTGTGCTTCTCACAGCGTCAGGCAGGGGATAAAACTGGAGAGGGCCTGGTTTGAAGGTGGAGGAACTCTGGGGGCTTCATTCTGGTAGGAGGAGAGCATCGAGGCAGGCCTTTAGGCTGTTGTTCTGGGTGGAGGGGATGGGGGCTTACAGTCGGGGGGATGGGGGCTTACAGTGGGAGCCCTCAGGTGGCACAGGTTCGGAAGGGCCCCAGGCAGATGTTAATTCTGCTGAGACATGAGGTAGGTTGCTTCAGCCAGCCCGGGCGGAGAAGAAGGGCAGAGAGCGAACATAGGAGTCCAGTCGGGAGCGAAAGAGCTCACTTTGCACAGTTTGGCCCAGGGGGCACAGGGGATTCTTCACCACCAGCTCCACATACAGCTACGGAAAGGGAAGATGTCAGCGCTGGGCTTTGGATACTTCTCGTTTCCAACCCCAAACCTCAGAGGTGTGTGAATGCACAAGGAGCAAGGGCTGGAAGGCAAGCCCTCTCTGAGAAGAAGCTGGTGGTGGGAGTTAAGAACCTAAAGTCCCCTGAGAAAACTCCGAATTCAACAAACATATAGTAGGATTAGGGTAGGGAAGATAAAGGAGAATCCTTGGGATTCTGATGAGCTCGGGGTTGGGGGGGGGGTCCCCGGGGCTGGCACTGACCGCACTGTAGATGTGATGCAGCACATCTCGGATGGGTCCCACGCCCAAGTCAGTATTCATGACAACTTTGATCCCAGTGGGCGTCTCGTAGTAATGGAGTTTGTAACGGCTAGTTTGAAAGGCCAAGAAGCCATCCTTCCTGCAGAGATGAGGAGGGTGTTAAGGAATGGGAGCAAAATCTCTCCCAAAGAGATACTTCTGATCCCCTCAAAGGTCGACTCCCTCTTCATCTAAACATATCTTTTGTAGAAGCCTGGTTGAGTAAAGACATCACCAATCCTCACCCCTCAATTTAGCACCCCCTAACCTCTCTACTTTCAGACCCTCCCCTGCCACTCCTGCCAGCTCCAGCATCTTGCTACGGAGTCAGACTCCCTAAGTACCCTTCCCCCCTCTGGAAGCCAATGCCCCTTCCACTTCAGAAAGTTTCCCCCATCCCCAAATTCCCAAGGCTAGCCCTCCTCCCAACATCTTTTCTGACTCGGCATACATGTCTAGCGGGGACATCTTGCTGACAAAGGAGCGGATAGAGAAGAGCATCCCGTACATCAGTTTGTACTCCTGGAGGGGGAAGGGCAGAGTTAGCTCTCGGTTGTTGCAGGAGACGGGGTCGGGGTGGGAACGAGCTGGGGTTTGGAGAAGAGGGGTTAGGTTGGGACTACAGGTGTTCGGAGCTGAGAAGTCACCTCCTCCTTGGGAATCCCTGCTTGCTTCTTGCGGTGCCATTCGCTGTAGTGCAGACACACTCCATTCCGGTCAAACAGGTACAGGTTGTGGACAGTCATCTGCAGGGCAGGGAGTGTAAGCCTCGCTCCGGGACTGTCCCCACTCCGTGGGCTCAGGTTTCCGGACCCACAGCCCTCCAACAAGGTGGGTACCCAACCCTCGGACTCACCGGAACTGCTCTGAGCGTCCGTCAGGAGTTACTTCCGGTTTCCGCGGCGCTCCGCCCCGTGGGGGGTCTCACCCAGCCCCTGCTGGGCATTAACTCCGCCCCAGTGCCACTCGTCAGACTCCGCCTCTCTCCTTCGGCCAATCTGTGGCCACCGGAGCCGCGCAGGCGCGGCCAGGCTCTCGGGGTACCGAAGTGTTATGAGCGTCTGCAAGCGTGGTCTCGCGGGCGGGTGACGTCATCGGGGCGAGAGAGGCGGGGCCGTGGACGGTGGGCGGGAGGCTGCCAACGGTTTTGAGCTTAGAGGGAGGTGCGAGACGGGGGATCCCAGGGGAGGAGGCCAATCGCTTGCTCCCCACTTTGGCAAATTGGGGGCTGAGAACTGGAAGTGTGGAGAGCAGTCGGGACCAGGTGGTCGTCGGGGCAGAGGATCTCAGGCTAGGTTTGAGGGCAGCGTGGTTTTTAAAGACGACTGAGGGCGTGACTCAGTGTTCACAAGATTTCTTTTGGGGTGATCGGGAGGGAGAGAGTCTAGGGAGCGAAGCTTGCTATGGCTTTCTTGCTAGGAGGGGTCGGAAGGAAAGTACAAGGGAGCTGACCCTGGGTAGAACGGGTGAAGGGGTAGGGGAGCGTGAGGTTCCTGCCTCTCTTGAGATTGGAGCCAGCTGAGGGACAAATAGGGCAGCGGGACAGAAATTGGGCCCCTAGGGGATTTGGGTCCGTTTCCTTTGGGACGTTTTGGGTGTGAGAACTTAAGAACTCAGTTGACCGGGGATAGCCTGTGCCGGAGTTGATCTGCAGCTTCCAGCACTCGTAGTTGGGAAGAGGAGCTTCAGCAGTGCCGTTGTCCCGCAGTAGGTCGTCTGTCCGCACCCCCTCTGCGCCACACCCTCTTAACACTATTCCCAGGAGCTGGGGAAAGGGATGCTTTGGCCCAGTCCCATGGCCCCTGGAGCTGGTGGAAACCTTTCCTCCAACCAGAAAGCCTCGATACCCTTAATTCACCAAGGATCCTTGGCGTGGAGTCTTCCTCCCTTCTCCCAAATCTTTCTCCGTGAACTTTTCCTCCTGGACTTTGCTAAAGCAGAACCTCCCAGCTCTCTGCTATCTCCGGTCGTCTCTTCCCTGTGTTCATGGCAACATCAGCTGCCAGCACCAGTTCACCCGTCGGGGCGGAGGATCTCCTGAGTGATTCATCAGAACCCCCTGGGCTCGACCAAGTGTCCTCCGAAGTGACCTCCCAGCTCTATGCTTCTTTGCGCCTCAGCCGGCAGGCGGAGGCCACAGCCCGAGCCCAGCTGTATTTACCCTCCACTTCCCCACCTCGTGAGGCGTTAGACGGCTTAGCCCAAGAATTGAGTCGAAGCTTGTCAGTCGGATTGGAAAACAACTTAAAGAAAAAGGTGAGGGAAGTGTGTCTTGGGGACCACTGGAGCACTAGATACCAGAGAGGCTTAGGATTGGGGTTGGTTTAAAAAAAAGAAAAAGCTTTAATGAGATTTGAATTCTTAATGTTGGATTTCTTTTTTTTTTTTTTTTTTTAGACAGAGTCTCACTCTGTCGCCCAGGCTGGAGTGCAGTGGTGTGATCTAGGCTCACTGCAATCTCTGTCTCCCGAGTTCAAGTGATTCTCCTGCCTCAGCCTCTTGAGCAGATGGGACTAAAGGTGCGAGCCCCCATGCCCAGCTAATTTGTGTATTTTTAGTAGAGATGATGTTTCACCATATTGATCAGGCTGGTCTCGAACTCCAGACCTTGTGATCTGCCTGCCTTGGCCTCCCAAAGTGCTGGGATTACAAGCATGAGCCACCGCCCTCAGCCCCTTCATATTCCTTTTAACTATATAGGCAGTCATGCTAATGAGGGAGGGAGTGACCTGGGACACCATAATTTGAAAATTATGAAACTTCCTAGTGTCTTTTGTGAGAGACATCTCTGCTCCAAGTAGATAGAGCAAACCTATGGGGTAGGTTGGTGAGCTATTCTCTGTGCACTGGGAATGGGTAAGGTTCCTTTTTTTTTTTTTTTTTTTTGAAACAGAGTTTCGCTCTTGTTACCCAGGCTGGAGTGCAGTGGTGTGATCTCGGCTCACCGCAACCTCCGCCTCCTGGGTTCAGGCAATTCTCCTGCCTCAGCCTCCTGAGTAGCTGAGATTACAGGCACGCGCCACCATGCCCAGCTAATTTTTTGTAGTTTTAGTAGAGACGGGGTTTCACCATGTTGACCAGGATGGTCTCGATCTCTTGACCTCGTGATCCACCCGCCTCGGCCTCCCAAAGTGCTGGGATTACAGGCCTGGGTAAGGTTTCTTGATCCCAAGAGGGGAGTAGGGACTTAGGATACCAGCTTAGATCCTTCCAGCCCAACACTATTTTGATAGTATGGTTCAAACTTTGGCATGTACATCAAGACAGAGTCTATTACAACATGTTACAGAGAAGATAGTTATTAGTATTGTATAGAAAAGGTGTCATAGTCGGCTGGGTGCAGTGGCTCACGCTTTAATCCCAGCACTTTGGGAGGCCAAAGCCTGGCCAAGATTGTGAAACCCCATCTCTACTAAAAAAAAATACAAAAAATTAGCTGGGCATGATGGCATGTGCCTGTAATCCCAGATACTTGGGAGGCTGAGGCAGAGAATTGCCTGAATCCGGAAGGTGGAGGTTGCAGTGAGCCGAGATTGCACCACTGTACTCCAGCCAGGGCAACAGAGCGAGACTCCATCTCCAGAGTCTGAAAATGATTGCCACAAGCCACACAGTCCTTAGATTTGTTCTTGAATTGGCAAAAATCACTGCAACTCTTGTCATACACCTCCCTGATTTATTTATTTACACTGTCTTTCTGGCTTCTGTAGTATTTGAGTTTCTGACTCACAGTTAGGGCATCCCTTATTGGATCTGTTTGGTTTTTCTTGTTTTCCAAAGTGCTGGAGTAAAAATTCTACCCCAGCAGTAAGTAGGAGACAGACAACGCAGATGGCATCTGATTTCCTTGTGGCTTTTTTCTAGGATGGTTCTAAGCATATCTTTGAGATGGAAAGTGTTCGGGGTCAGCTCCAGACCATGCTCCAAACCTCACGTGATACAGCCTATCGTGAGTAAACCCCTTCTGTAGAACTATGAAGGAGAACCTAGATTTAAGGGGTGAGAGAAAGTGGACAGAGGAGCCTGTAATCCCAGGAAAACCTCTGACCAAGAGATTCCAGGAGAAAAGGCTCCTGTTCTTTGGGAGAGGGGGTGAAGGAGCGAGGGAACTGGAAAGGAAGGCCTTCAAGTGGCCCTGTTTTGGTCATTACCTGACCCTGGCTTTGGGGTCCCTCTGGCTGCCTACAGGGGATCCCCTCATTCCTGGCACTGGCTCAGAGAGACGGGAGGAGGACTCCTTTGACAGTGATAGCACAGCCACCTTGCTCAAGTGAGTTCTCCTTGGGGTTCTCCCTTAGCTTGCTTGCTTACTTGGAATTCCAAATGTTTTGCTCCTTATTTCTCCTGTTATTGCTGTTGTACCTCTCAAGAACCCAACAGGTTTATCACTTAGCTTTCAGTTTTCATCCTTTTTCTCCTGTCTGCTACCCTGTTTGCTCCTTCAAGAACACGGACATTTGCTGCCTCATACCCGGTTTTCTCTTAACCTCCAGTCATTCTTCCCCTTAGGAGAGTTAGCTTGTTTCTGCTGAAGCCTTTAAGTGAATCACAAACCTATGTGTTATTTATGGAACTATGGTTATATAGCTTTATGACTTTGGGCAAGTCTCTTGCCCTCTCTGGGTCTCAGTTTCCTTATTTGTAAAATATCACAGTTGGACAAATGGATTCCAAAAGCTTTCCCAGCCCTAACATTCTCTACCTGATTTGCTCAGCACCCGGCCCCTGCAAGACTTGTCTCCATCTAGCTCAGCCCACGCCCTGGAGGAACTGTTTCCCCGCTATACCAGCCTTCGGCCAGGGCCTCCACTCAATCCCCCAGATTGTCAGGGGCTGAGAGATGCATTGGATTCAGAGCATACCCGCCGCAAGGTAAGATGCAAAGGCCTCCTTTTGAAAGCAGCATAGATTAGAAAGAGGGAAACCGAGTGTTGAAAAGGGCTGAGGGTTAAAAGCCTGAAAGCTGGGACTTTGCTCAAATATTTTTCTGGAGACGCCTTTTTTGACCATCCATCTTATATGACATCACCTCCCCTCTAAGCAGTCGGTCAGATCACCCTCTTATTTCCTTCATATAGCTTATCGCTCTGATAGATCTCATTTTTTTCTTCCCTTTAAAATCTAAAATCCATGAGGGTCAGAATGTTGTCTTGTCTTAGTACTGGCTGCCTGAGGTCTAAAATATACCTAACACAGAAACATTCTGTAAGTGTTTGTTGAATGGACACAAACTCTGCTAGCTTGTGCATAGGATTTATAGCTACTGATGATATACTGAGCTTTAGCCCTGTAAGCCTCTGCCTTAACGTCTGAAGGGGACAGAGAAATAGACAAAGCATAGGAAAAGTCAAAATCATTGGTTACCATTTTTGGAAGTATCTCTTTCTCTCTCTCTCTCTCTCTTTTTTTTTTTTTTTTTTTTTAAATATCAACCCGGTTTATTGGTCCCACTTTTTTTTTTTTTTTTTTTTGAGACAGAGTCTTGCTCTGTCTCCCAGGCTGGAGTGCAGTGGCGTGATCTCAGCTCACTGCAACCTCTACCTCCCGGGTTCAAGCGATTCTCCTGCCTCAGTCTCCCCAGTAGCTGAAATTACAGGTGTGCGCCACCATGCCTGACTAATTTTCGTGTTTTTACTAGAGACAGGTTTTACCATGTTGGCCAGGCTGGTCTTAAACTCCTGACCACATGATCTCCTGGCACCTCCCAAAGTGCTGGGATTACAGTCATGAGCCACTGCTCCAGGCCTTCTTTCTCTATTTTAAATTCCTTGGGCATGAATGAAAGGCTTTCTCCTTTATCCTTGCTATGTTTACTCATTGTGTCCAGTGAGCTTCTGAAAGTAGGAGTAACTTTGCACATTTTGCTGTGTGGGCTGCTGCACCTCTGCCAAAAGGTTTATGGGATTTTTACTCAGGAGATCCAGGAAAAGGAGAAGCCTGGAATCTAAGCACTTACCTCCTGAAAAGGTAGAGAAACGTGTTGGAGATCTTAAGCTTCAGGGTTCTTGCTTCAGAATTTTCCTGATTCCCTTTCTCCAAACCTATTCTGTTCTTGGGACCCAGCCTCCTTAGCTCCAGCCCATTCCCCCGAAGAGGAGCTGGAAAGTGTGGTGCTGTGGTCATACAAAAGATGGGCAGCACCCAGACGTCTCACCCTTTTCCCCAGCATTGTGAGCGCCATATTCAGAGCCTGCAGACCCGAGTGTTGGAGCTACAGCAGCAATTAGCCGTGGCTGTGGCTGCCGACCGCAAGAAAGATATCATGATTGAACAACTGGACAAGGTGCCAGGGTAGCAAGATATGGGTGGGTCTCTCCATGAAGAGCATTAAGGAATAATAAATAAGGGGGTGGCCAACCAATGTTTCTTGGTGCATGCTGAGAGCTGGGCAAGAGGTTGGTTTGCTGACTGTTGGGAGAAGATGGATGTTGACCCTGCCCCTGTGGGTAGAAAGAGAGCAAAAAAGTTACTTTGAAATTCATTTTACTTGCCCTACCTGAGACCCTGGCCCGTGTGGTGGAGGGCTGGAACCGGCATGAGGCTGAGCGGACAGAGGTTCTCAGGGGACTTCAAGAGGAACGCCAGGCGGCAGAGCTCACCAGAAGCAAGCAGCAGGAGGTGAGCGCCCTGGAGCTATGGCATTAGGACCAGAGTCACAGATCTCTAGATGGAAAGGGGCAGACATAGCTCTAGAATTAGGGTTCTCAAAGATTGACCTCAATCTTATTATAGCTGTCCTGACATTTCTTCTCATCCCTCCTTTCTTCTCCTTTAACTGTTTCTGCTGTCCAACTTGCATCATCAATGTCTTCTTAATTTTTCCCACACCATGTCGTCTTCTGCTTGGCCCCTTAGTCATTTAGTTAACTCTGAAGTTTCAAGTTTACGTTGTCAATGCTTTATAATATAAAACACAGAGATTTTCCATGGTTCCTCTGCCCTGTATTCCTTTCTTCCTGAAAGACAGTAACCCGCCTGGAACAAAGCCTTTCTGAGGCCATGGAGGCCCTGAATCGTGAGCAGGAAAGTGCCAGACTGCAACAACGGGAAAGAGAGACATTGGTGAGAAGATTGGACTGGGTTAATTCCACTGGAAGCTGACCTCAGATGATTTGCATGCCTCAGCCTCCCAAAGTGCTGGGGTTATAGGCATAAGCCACTGCGCCTGACTGCGCCAGTCAACTATTGTGTGGGTTTTTTTTTTTTTTTTTTTGTATATTTTTGAGATGGAGTCGTGCTCTGTCACCTAGGCTGGAGTGCAATGGTGCGATCTTGGCTCACTGCAACCTCTGCCTCCCAGGTTCAAGCAATTTTCCTGCCTCAGCCTCCCAAGTAGCTGGGATTACAGGCACCCACCACCACGCCCAACTAATTTTTATATTTTTAGTAGAGACAGGATTTCAGCATGTTGGACCAGGCTAGTCTCTGAACTCCTGACCTCAGGTGATCCACCTGCCTCGGCCTCCCAAAGTGCTGGGATTACAGGCATGAGCCATTAGGCCTGGCCTAATTATTTGTGTTTTTAATGGGCATAATTCTCAGCAGGCACATTGTATGAGGGTCAGAGGGCAGATTGCTGGACTCTCAAGGGCCTACTAAGGATCCTGGTTTTCTTCTGAGTCTATAGGAAGAGGAAAGGCAAGCTCTGACCCTGAGCTTAGAGGTAGAGCAGCAGCGGTGCTGTGCCCTGCAGGAAGAGCGGGATGCAGCTCGGGCTGGGCAGCTGAGTGAGCATCGAGCATTGGAGGCTCTTCAGGCTGCCCTAGAAGAAGAACGACAGACTTGGGCCCAGCAAGAGCTCCAGCTTAAGGAACACTACCAGGCACTGCAGGTGGAGAGCCAGGCTCAGCTGGAAAGAGAGAAGGTAAAAGTGGCAGTTGGAAGAGTTGAGGAACTAGAGACTAGATGAAGGGCAAAATAATTGAATGGGATGGAATGTTAGAATAGGGGATATACATACGCGGGAGTGGAGACAGCCATATGTGGAAGACAGGGTTGAGAGTGTGGGGCCAGCAGGAAGGGCTGGGGGTATTGAATACATGAAAGGCCAAAGAGTGAAATGAAGCAGTGATGGGGAAATAAGACAAATAGAAGGAGAGGGGAAGCTTGGGCTTTAGGGCTTGGGAGGATGACTTGGGGATTAGAGGTAACCAGGAGATAGGAAATGAGGTGTGTACTTATGTTTGATTTGTCTTTCGTAGGAGAAGGGTCAGAGGGAAGCCCAGGCAGCCCGGGAGGCCCAGCACCAGCTGGCATTGGTGCAGTCTGAGGTGCAGCGGTTGGAAGGAGAGCTGGACACGGCTCGGAGAGAGAGAGATGCCCTGCAGCTGGAAATGAGCTTGGTGCAGGTCAGAAGGCAGAGGGTTCTGGAGGGTTTTTCTGAGAGCAGTAGATCTGAGGCCAAGGGACCTCACAGGAGTTGTGGCAGACACTCCCATTTCAGGTATTTGGGGTTTAATTCCATTAACAGTTTCTATGTAGTATGGGTGGTTTTCTGTCCTAAACTCAGAGCCATTTCTCACTGAGCGACCATTTCTCACAATATGTCAGACCGATCTAGTGTTACTTTCAGGATTAAATGGATTTCAATTTATTAAAAATACCTAATGTTATTTTAAGAGATGACACACACACTTAGTGGGTTGATAGAGCAGATGGAAGCATTTGTCGGAGACTGGATTCCAATGGTAACAGTATGCTTTGTAATTCTCATTACTTCAGTAACTTGTTTTAATTTCTCTGAGTAGGTCAGGGACCAAGGAGGGCAATGATTGTTTAATTTACTTATGAAACTTCCATAACAGCGCATGGCCTGGCACAGAATTGGACTCGAAAATTGTTAGATATAATTACACTTTGAAAAACACTTTCCATCTAGCTATCACATTGAATTTTAAATTCAAACTAGTCAGACTCTTGCCATGGAATAGAGCAGGGGTTGGCGAATTTTATCTGTAAAGGGCCAGACAGTAAATATTTTTAGTTTTGTGGGTTGTATGGTCTCAGTTGCAACTACCCAACTCTGCTGTTATACCACAAAAGTAGCTAAAACTGTACATAAACAAATGGGCACAGCTGTATTCCAGTGTAACTTATATAAACAGGCTATGGAGGGCTGAATTGGGCTGTAGTTTGTGATCTCCAGAACAGAAGAAAGAATTTGAGAGAGCTGTGTTCCAGCCCACGGTGGAGACACAGCGTTGAAGAGGAAAGAGTACTGCATTAGGACTTAGGGCACTCAGTTCTACTTCTAGCTGGTATTTTGACCTTTATGGGCCTCTGTTTTTATGTGTAAAATGTGTGTTAAGGACAAACTGATGAATTTTCCAGATGCAAGCCAGTCTGAGAGGCTATGTTCCTCATAAATGGTTAACTTAAGGAAGTACCCAATTACTTGGTCAGTGAGGCCAGCATTTGAGAAACACTCCTTTGGTGTGGTGTGGTGGCTAACACCTGTAATCCCAGCACTGTGGGACGCCAAGGTGGATGGATCACTTGAGCCCAGGAGTTTGAGACCAGCCTGGCCAACATGGTGAAACCCCCTCTCTCCTAAAAATACAAAAATTAGCCGGGTGTGGTGGCATGCACCTGTAGTCCCGGCTACTCAGGAGGCTGAGGCAGGAGAGTTGCTTGAACCCGTAAGGCAGAGGTTGCAGTGAGCTGAGATTGTGCCCTTGCACTCCAGCCTGGGCAACAGAATGAGACTCCATCTCAAAAAAAAAAAAAAAAAATTGACCTAGGGTGTCAGCTGTAACAATGAGATCACATTCAATAAAGACTAAGAAAGCAGCCAGGTGTGGTGGCTCACGCCAGTAACCCCAGCACTTTGAGAGGCTGAGGTGACCAGATTGCTTGAGCCCAGGAGTTCAAGACCATCCTGGGCGTAACATGGCAAAACCTAAACTCTGCTGAAAATACAAAAAATTAATTGGGTATAGTGGTGTGTACCTGTAGTCCCAGCTACTTGGGAGGCTGAGGTGGAAGAATCAACTGCAGTGAGCTGTGATCATACCCCTGCACTCCAGCCTGGATGACAGGAGCGAGATCGTCTCAAAAAAAAAAAAAAAAAAAGACTAAGAAAGGGCCAGGTGTGGCGGCTCATGCCTGTAATCCCAGCACTTTGGGAGGCTAAGGTGGGAGGATTGCTTGAGTCCAAGAGTTTGAGACCAGTGTGGGCAACATAATGAGACCCAGCCTCTACAAAAAATAAAAAGATGAGCTGGGCGTAGTGGCACAAGTTTGTAGCCCCAGCTACTCTGAAGGCTGAGGAGGGAGGATTACTGGAGTCTGGGAAGTCAAGACTGCAGTGAGCCATGATCACGCCACTGCACTTTAGGCTAAGCAACAGAGCAAGACCCTGTCTAAAAGCAGGGGCTGAGAAAATAACCGCTATTTGGATTTAGAAATTGAGTTCTTTGCAGTAAAGTACTATACGTGGAAATCAGATTTTAGTGAGTGAGAAAATAGAGACACTTACAGGCTGACTGCTTAAGGAGGAAGAGGCACTGACATTTATTGAATGTCTACTGGCTTTCAGGTTCAGTACTCAGGGTATGTTATCTCAGACACATAGAATGAATTTGATTGCTCTAGTGAACATATATTTTAGCTAAGAAATTTATGTCTTTCACCTAAAGTCATTTTCACTTTGATGTATTTTTTTCTTCTTTTTTATTTTTATTTTTTCTCCCCTCCTTTCCCTCCTCACTTTGATGTATTTTAAGGTGTGAATATCTCATGGTTTAATAAGGAAAGGGAACCTCTTTCACTCCTTCATTCACACAAGAATGAAGGCAAAATTCTTGTCCCTCATCTCCTATGGGGGGGAAGGTTGGTACTGGATTTTGTCTGCATTATATCCTCCATCCTCTTCTAAGTCCAAACAGATTTGAGCTGACTGTTATCCCACCTTCTTCACTCCCAGGCCCGGTATGAAAGCCAGCGGATCCAGATGGAGTCGGAGCTGGCTGTGCAGCTGGAGCAGCGGGTGACAGAGCGGCTGGCGCAGGCGCAGGAGAGCAGCCTACGGCAAGCAGCCTCCCTGAGGGAACAGCACAGGTACATGGGACTCACTGGGTGTCACTTCTCCCAGCCACAGCAGGAGGTTGTCCTGAATCATTGTCCGGGCCCATGCTCTCTTTGTCATTGTCAGGCACTGTGGCTCCCAGGATGCACTAACTCCCATCAGCCAAGACCTGAGTCTCTCTTGGGAGGGCTGCCTTCATGTGTGTTCATGGAGGACCAGAAGTGCCGGGGAATTTTCATACCGTAGGGTGTAGTCCTTAACCAAGAACTGATGGGTGTAGGATGATAGATGGTCCACTCCCTTGCTGGACCATGCTGATGTATGACCTGCGCTGTCTCCAGAGCTACTCTGTGGGACTGAGCCTCCTCCCAGCCCGGCGTCACTTCTCCTCACCCCCATTCTGCTGCCAAGATTTCCTAGAAATGCTTCTGAAATAAGTTTCTTTATTTAAGTCTCTGCTTCTGAGGAACCTAAAACCCCAGCTTTGTCCTTGTCTCTTCCTGTGCCATGGCCAGGCTGGCTGACTGGCTATCTGGGTCACTGTCACATGCACACATGATGTCTTTTTCTCAGTTGGTCACTTCTGTCTCCAGTCTCAAGCCTCTTTTCCTACTTGTGCCCTTTAGGAAGCAGCTGCAGGACCTCAGTGGACAGCACCAGCAGGAGCTGGCCGGTCAACTGGCTCAGTTCAAGGTGGAAATGGCAGAACGAGAGGAACGGCAGCAGCAGGTGGCTGAGGACTACGAGCTCAGGTACTGGTCTCCAGAGTGCCCTGTCAGGCCCCAGCCCCTTTCCCATGGGCAGAGCCCAAACTGGGAACAGTAAGGAGCTGCTCTCTTGGTCGATCTGTCTCCTCTACATGGGCCCCATTTCCTTTCAGAATGTCTGACATTCCCTTCTAGCTCTTTATAACCTCTAAGTCTCTTCTTCCTTAAAAGCCCTGAGTCACTTCTCCTTTCTTTTCTTCAGACTGGCCCGCGAGCAAGCACGAGTGCGTGAACTTCAGAGTGGGAACCAACAGCTGGAGGAGCAGCGGGCGGAGCTGGTGGAACGACTGCAGGCCATGCTGCAGGCCCACTGGGATGAGGCCACTCAGCTGCTCAGCACCACTCTCCCGCCACCCAACCCACCAGTAGGCATTGCCCCTTGAGCTAAGCTTCTCAGTTGTGTTCTATTTTTATTTTTGAGATAGCGTCTCACTCTTGCTCAGGCTGGAGAGTACAGGGGCAGTCATGGCCCACTGCAGCCTCGAACTCCTGTGCTCAAGTGATCCTCCCACCTCTGACTCCCAAAGTGCTGGGATTCCAGGCATGAACTACCACGCTCAGCAAGAATTGTGTTCTAGATTCCTTCTTTGGAAATCTAGCTCCCTCCCGAGGGAAGTACTGAGTTCAGCTCCCACGGCCTACACTGGGGGGAAAAAATCAGTGGACTTTTCCAAATAATAACTGCCTCAGCAAAATAAATCCTTTTTTCCATGGCCATAGTTTACTGGCATAACTCTAGTCTCCCAGTCCCAAGAGGTGACAAATAATATGTGGTACTAGTTTTGTGGAGGGATGGCTGAATTAATTACGAGAGAAAGGGCCAAAAATTGTTTCCAAGTCCTGCCCCAGAGTAGAGTAGGAAGTCTCACTTCCTAGCCCTTCATATGTTGATAATTCCCACTTTTCATTATGAAATTCTAGCCAGGTGTGGTGGTGCGTCTGTAATCTCAGCTGTATGGGAGGCTAAAGCAGAAAGATCACTTGAGCTCAGGAGTTCAAGACCAGCCTAGGCAACATAGTGAGACCTCATCTCAAAAAAAGAAAAAGAAGAAACACTTAGGACATTTTAATTTTATTTATTTAAATATTTATTATTTATATATTTATTTGAGACAAGGTCTCACTCTGTTGCCCAGGCTGGGCTCAAGCAATCCTCCTCAGCTTCCTGAGTAGCTGGGACTACAGGCACATGACACTGCCTCCAGCTAATTTTTAAAATTTTTGTAGAGATGGAGTCTCTCTGTGTTGCCAGGGCCGGTCTCAAACTCCTAGCTTCAAACGATTCTCCCACCTCAGCCTCCCAAAGTGTTGGGATTATAGGTGTGGGCCACTGCACCCAGAAATTTATAATATTAAAATGTTTGTACCATGACTTATCTCTTTAAACCTACTATGCTTTGACCCTTCTTTCTGCCTCTCTCCTGGTCAGGTTCCTCCTGCTAGACCTTCCAGCCCCGGGCCTCAAGAGCCAGAGAAGGAAGAGAGGAGGGTCTGGACTGTGCCTCCTGTGGCCGTGGCCCTGAAGCCTGTATTGCAGCAGAGTCGGGAAACAAGGGACGAGCTACCTGGAGTGCCTCCTGTTCTTTGTAGTTCATCCTCAGATCTCAGCCTCCTGTTGGGCCCCTCTTTTCAGAGCCAGCATTCTTTCCAACCCCTGGAACCCAAACCAGATGTCACTTCATCCACAGGTAGCTGGGGACAGAAGTCACTGGGGTTCCCCTTCTGTGCATGAATTAGTTCCCTCTTCCATATCTTGCTTTCTGTCTGGTACTTGACCATTTAGTTTCCCAGATGTCTTCAGTGATCACACGTTGCAAGAAATAGAAATCTGCTCACGTTTGTCCAGTTAAAGAGATTGAGATCTCATGGAAATGTGACATTGCTGGACTTAATAAGAACTGGAGTTGGGAACAGGAGCCCTATTGAGAACTGAGGCAGCTGGCAGGCCCTTCTCTGTGGTCCTGTGTAGTCTCCTAGGTCCACCTCTCCTGCACATCTATTCTTAGACTAGCATTCTCTCTCAGTCAAGGTTCTTGCCCCTCATAACTTCACTTTACACATGGGTTTGACCAGCTGTGACACTGACTCTAGCTGAGCCTCTAGACATTTATAGAGACATTGGTGTCTCAGTTTTTTAGGTCCAGTTTAAAGAGGCCATCTGACTGGATTGGCTGACCTTGGGTGTGGTGTCCACCCCTAGTTTAATGTCAGCTGTTATTTGAGTGGATGAGGGTGTTCTGTGTGGTACAAACATGACAACCTAGGTTGAATTAAAAATGGGGGATGGGGCCAGGTGCAATGGCTCACACCTGTAATCCTAGCACTTTGGGAGGCCCAGGTAGGTGGGAGGATGGCTTGATGCCAGGAGTTCCAGACCAGTCTGACCAATATAGTGAGACCTCATCTCTACAAAAAATGTAAAAATCAGCTGGGTGTAGTGGCACACACTCGAATTTCCAGCTACTCAGGGAGGCTGAGACAAAAGGATTGCTTGAGCTGAGGAGTTTGGGGCTATAGTGAAGTAAGAAGGTGTCATTGTACTCCAGCCTGGGCCACACAGCAAGACTGTCTCAAGAAAAAAAAAAAAAGAGAGAGATTAGTTGTATCACAATTAAAATCTTTAAAATTATGTGATAATAATAAAAGAATGGGAGCATATTCTGGGGAAGAGATCAGAACATGTATGTTACTCATTTCCATTCTTCAGGGAGTTAATGAGGATATTTAGAGTTTGAGTATCACAGCTTTCTTCTTCTGCCTGTATTTCTGTCTTAGAATTCAGCTGTGCCATCTCCCAGTCACCTCCAACCCTTCCCTCTCCAGTTCCTTTAAACCTCCATCTTCATCTTCTCCTAGCTGTGATGTTCCTCCTACATTTAATAGGCCCCTTTCTTCTGAGTATTAGGTGAGTTGATTTGTGGAGGAGCCCCTTCCCCCTTGAACACATTTCCACCCACCCACACCTGTTTCCCTTTGCAGCTGGGGCCTTCTCTGCACTCGGGGCCTTCCATCCGGATCATAGGGCAGAACGGCCATTCCCTGAGGAAGATCCTGGACCTGACGGGGAAAACCTCGTAAAGCAAGGGCTACCACCTGCGCAACTGGAGGGCCTCAAGAATTTCTTGCACCAGGTAAGAGAGATTCTACCTAGACTAGTTCATTGTCTTCTTCCCTTTCTTCTTTCCTTTTTCTGCTCTAGAAATCCAGGACTCTGGCCTCATTCCCTGTTTATGACTAACTCATCGTTCTAGCTTTTTCTCTCTGATCCCTAGGCCTTTTTCTCTATCAGTTCCTGGGGAACTTGACTATCTTATTCACCCACAGTTGCTGGAGACAGTGCCCCAGAACAATGAGAACCCTTCTGTCGACCTGTTGCCGCCTAAGTCTGGTGAGTTCCAACTCTGAAGACAGTTGGGGCTGAGGCCTGGGAAAGATGGGAGTTGGTTATCTAGAATGCATTTCTAGGAGCTGGTAAAGTGATAAAGGCTTATAAATACTGGGTGGTGGGACTTTCTTGATTCTTTGCCCATTTTCTGATTCTTGGCTCTCTTTCCTTTTGCTAGGTCCTCTGACTGTCCCATCTTGGGGGGATGCCCCTCAAGTGCCACGTCTTCCACCCCCTGTCCACAAAACCAAAGTTCCCTTGGCCATGGCATCTAGTCTTTTCCGGGTCCATGAGCTTCCCTCCTCCCATTCACAAGGCAGTGGCCCCAGCAGTGGTTCCCCAGAGAGAGGTGAGCAGGTCCTGGATTACTAGGGGAAGAAAGAGGGACAGTCTTGCATGTGGATCCAGTACAGGCACTTAAGGCCCTTCTGAATTCCTGAGGAAATGGGCTGAGGGCTGGGGAGAGGGGCCCTACGATGAGTCCTGTGATTATTGATATCTCTCAGGTGGAGATGGGCTCACATTTCCAAGGCAGCTGATGGAGGTGTCTCAACTGTTGCGACTCTACCAGGCTCGGGGCTGGGGGGCTCTGCCTGCTGAGGATCTGCTGCTCTACCTGAAGAGGCTGGAACACAGCGGGTACAAGCCTGGGAAGAAGGAGAAAGGATTCGGAGGGTGGAAGCTGGATTATGCAGAGTAGAGCGGGTGTATTGTACACTGAATAGAATTGTCCTTTTCTGAGGAGGAAAGTGAAGGATGAGATGTGGATCCACAAATCTCCTTCTCTGACTGCCCACACCTTTCTTTTCTCTTCTTTCTATTGCTGTTTTCTTCTAAACAAAAAAATCTTTTCTCTGGGTCTCTCTACCTTCGTTTTTTCCTCTTTACCCTACAGCTCAAAACTCAGCATCCTAGAATTTTGACTAGCTGGTATAACTCATTTTTTGTTTCTGCTAACGTCTCCGCTCATTTGATGCCCGGGTCTATCAAGTTTGTTCTTATTCTTAAGAGACAGAATCCCGTATTGAGGGGGACAGAGCTCCCTATCCTCATACTTTTGATTTGTGTGGCAGGACTGATGGCCGAGGGGATAATGGCCCCAGAAGGAACACAGACTCCCGCTTGGGTGAGATCCCCCGGAAAGAGGTGAGGGAAAGTCAGGCAGGGATCAGGGGAGAAAAGGGCTCTTACTGACCAGTTCCTTCACCTCTGCACACTCCCTGGCTGGCTGTGCTCTCATTGCCTGCCCCCTCCATTCCGTCCCTGCATTCTGTAGCATGGCCTTTCCTCCCTGTGGACTCATCTGGCCTTCTCCACTTGCCTTTCCCCAGTGGGGTGGGGAATTGAGAGGATCTGATGCTGACTTCTTCCTCACTCTTCCATCAACTCTCAGATTCCCTCCCAGGCTGTCCCTCGTCGCCTTGCTACAGCCTCCAAGACTGAAAAACCTCCCGCACGGAAGAAAAGTGGGCACCCTGCCCCAGGTAGCATGAGGAGCCGGGGGGGAGTCTGGAGATGAGCCCCCTACCCTCTCTCCTCTTCTTTGTTCTCTTGTTGTTATTTTAATAAATGCTCAGTAGTCTGTATCAGAGTCTCTGGCTCATAGGAATTTGGAAAATGGAGGTTTTGTAGGAAATCATTTGTAAAGAAACCACATTTGGTTTAAGTACTTTTTTTTATATGTTATGTGTTTATACGTCATTTCTGTGGTAAAAGACATGAATGCTTTGGAAGATGGTTTATGACAAGATTTTGGAAGTTGGAGCAGCTGAGATTCAGTGAGTAAAGGCTAAAACCTCAGAGCAGTGCGCTCTGGTTGGTAGTGGAATTATGGGTGATTCTTAGTTTTTTAATATATTTCTGTATTTTCCAAATTTTCTAAAACAAGTATATGTTACTTTAATAATAGAAAAGACCCAAACTTTTCTTTCTTTTTTTGAGATGGAATTTCCCTCTTGTTGCTCAGGCTGGAGTGCAGTGGTGTGGTCTTGGCTCACTACAACCTCTGCCTCCTGGGTTCAAGCGATACTCCTGCCTCAGCCTCCTGGGTAGCTGGGATTACAGGCATGCACCACCACGCCCGGCTAATTTTGTATTTTTAGTAGAGACGGGGTTTCTCCATGTTGATCAGGCTGGTCTCGAACTCCCGACTTCAGGTGATCCATCCGCCTCAGCCTCCCAAAGTGCTGGGATTACAGGTGTGAGCCACCATGCCCAGCTAAGACCCATACTTTTAATAAGAGCAAGTTATTGTATAAAAAGTTTGAGTTAAAATGTGGTTGATGGGGAGAAAGATTTTTCTTTTAAGGGAAAATAATTCTCACAGGTTGCATTGGTAGGATTCAGATTGGCAGATTCTACTCTAGCCAGCAGACATTGTTGCTGTAGTTTTCACTCTTATGGCTTTAAAATATGTATAAAAGATTAGAGTGCTGGGTCCTAATGAAACTAAAGAGTTTCTGCACAGCAAAAGAGACTATCAACGGAGTAAACAGGCAAGTTACAGAATGGGAGAAAATATTCTCAAACTATGCATTTGACAAAGGTCTAATATCCAGAATCTATTAGGAACTTAAATCAACAAGGAAAAAACAAACAACTCCATTAAAAAATGGGCAGATGACATGAACAGACACTTAACAAAAGAAGACATGCAAGCGCCCAACAAACATTTGAAAAAATGCTCATTACTAATCATGAGAGAAATGCAAATCAATTTAATGCAAAATCCCACAATGAGATACCATCTCAAACCTGTCAGAATGACTATTATTAAAAAGTCAAAAAATAACAGATGCTGGCGAGGCTGCAGAGAAAAGGGAATGCTTAAATAGCTGTCAGTGGGAATGTAAGTTCAGCCACTGGGGAAGCAGTGTAGAGATTTCTTATAAAACTTAAAACACTCAAGCCTGTAATCCCAGCACTTTGGGAGGCCGAGGCAGGTGGATCACAAGGTCAAGAGATCGAGACCATCCTGGTCAACATGGTGAAACCCCGTCTCTACTAAAAATACAAAAATTAGCTGGGCATGGTGGTGTACGCCTGTAATCCCAGCTACTCGGGGGACTGAGGCAGGAGAATTGCTTGAATCAAGGAGGCGGAGGTTGCAGTGAGCTGAGATCATGCCATTGCGCTCCAGCCTGGGTAACGAGCGAAACTCTGTCTAAAAAAAAAAAAAAAACAAAAAAAACTTAAAACAGAGTTATTATTTGACCAGTGATCACATTACTGAGTATATACCCAAAGGAAAATAAGTCATTATACCAACAAGACACATGCATTTTGTGTTCATTACTGCACTGTTCACAGTAGCAAAGACATGGAATCAACCTAGATGCCCAACAGGGGTGGGCTGGATGAAGAAAATGTACATGTACACCATGGAATACCACACAGCCTTAAAAAAGGATGAAATAACGTCCTTTGTAGCAACATGGATGGAGCTGAAGGCTATAAGCCTAAGCACATTAATGCAGGAACAGAAAACTTGATACCACATGTTCTCCTAAGTAGGAGGTGAACATTGAGCACACATGGACAGACATGGGAACAACAGACACTGCAGACTCCCAAAGCAGGGAGGTGGTGGGGATGGGCTGAAAAACTACCTAATGGTGCCATGCTCACTACCTAAGTGCAATATACCTATGTAACAAGGCTGCACATGTATGCCCTGTGTCTAAAAGAAAAGTTAAAATTGAGGCTGGGTGCAGTGGCTCATACCTGTAATCCCAGCACTTTGGAAGGCTGAGGCAGGCAGATCACTTGAGGCCAAGAGTTAGAGACCAGCCTGGCCAACATGGTGAGACACTGTCTCTACTAAAAAAATACAAAAAATTAGCTGGGCATGGTGGCAGGTGCCTGTAATCTCAGCTATTCAGGTGGCTGAGGCAGGAGAATCACTTGAACTCAGGAGGTGGAGGTTGCAGTGAGCTGAGATTGCACCACTGCACTCCAGACTGGATGACAGCAAGACTCTGTCTCAAAAAAAAAAAGTTGAAAAAAATAGAGTGCTGGCAAGAAAATTAAACCATATTTATAAAACTTTCATTTTAATGCTCACTAAATGGGAAAAGGAAAACCTCTTGGTGTTAAAACACATTCTCTGAATGAAGAGACCACCCAAACAAGCTTTCTGTGAGCAACATGGCTGTTTATTCACTTGGGTGTGGGCAGGCTAAGTCTGAAAAGAGGGTCAGCAGAGGGCAGTGGGATAGGAGTTGGTTTTATAGGTTTGGGGTAGGCAGTGGAAAGTTACAGAAGTTACAGTTTAGGGTGGTTTCATGCAAGCTGGGAGGGGGTCGTAGAGTCTGGAGTCATGAAGTTGGCCAAGGTTGGTTACAAAGTTCAGTTGCCTTATCAGTTGAGGTAGGAATAAGGAACAATATCTCAAGTTAATTAGGCACCTCAGGGATTGGTCATTCCTTCTCCTTTTGTGGTTTTCCAGTTACTTCAGATTATTTCCAGGAACTCATCTGGAGGTATACGTGCAGGACACAGAAGTTACTATGCAGTCCATCGCACTGTCAGCCTAAAAGACCTTACATTAGGGAAGAAAATAACATACGCAGAAACTAAAAAAGTCCCCAGATTCATGGTACAAATACTGAAAAGCACAGGCAAACTTAAACTGGAAGAGGGTATCCTACCTTGGCACTCACATGCAGCTCTCAGCTCTGGCTCACAGGGCAGAGGTGATGGCAAATACAATTCTGAAAGGCCCAGTCCTAGATGGGTGCTTGAGGGACAGAGTTTACTGGATTCTGAGAGGAAGGCAGGGTCCTTCTATTTGACCCTGAGTTATTTGGTTAGATCTGGAATAGACATGAGAGGATATGAATTCACAGTATTTCATATTAACGTTTGGATTTTACTTCTACCTAAGTAACTTTCTAGCCCCTGGGGAAGGGCAAAGGAAGAAAAGATGAAGATGAATGACCAGAAATGTAGGTTCCCTGCTTGGCTGTGTCAGGACAGCTTGAACCTCAGTCCCGCACAGGCCCACTCTCTGGCATGCTGGAGGAGAGAAACCGGAGGCACCCTGGGGCAGGAGCAACCCCAGGCCTGGTGGGCTTTTCCAGCCCTGTCTGTTTACCCACATATGGCAATGTTTGCTTTTCTATTTTTTACCTCAAATGCATAACGTTGGTTTGACCAAACGCTCAGATTCACGGCACACTGTCATCATTGGTAGGTGATGGTTTGCTACTGTTTTTAATAGTTGGTAAAGTGAACACGCAGTTCATTCTTCTCTTCTCTCATTACTTCCTGGATTCCTGCCTGCTGCTGTCAATCAGTATGCCCTACATTTTTCTTGATGTGAAGCACAGCCTGGAGTATATTTCCTAAAACAGCTCCTTTTTTTTTTTTTTTTTTTTGTCTTTTTTTCCCCAAACGGGAGTGCAATGGTGCGATCTCGGCTCACTGCAACCTCTTGCAACCACTACCTCCTGGGTTCAAGCGATTCTCCTGCCTCAGCCTCCTGAGTAGCTGGCACTACAGTCATGCGCCACCATGCCCAGCTAATTTTGTATTTTTAGTAGAGACGAGGCTTCTCCACATTGGCCAGGCTGGTCTTGAACTCCAGACCTCAGGTGATCCACTGGCCTCAGCCTCCCAAAGTGCTGGGGATTAGAGGCGTGAGCCACTGTGCCTGGCTAAAACACCTCTTTAAACAAAATCCGAAAAGAGCACCGGGCTGACTTAACCATGTTATGAAGTGTGTAAAACAACATTGATTTTTAAAGCTGTATGTATAGTGCCCAGTGATCAGATGGATCACCTGAGGTCAGGAGTTTGAGACCAGCCTGGCCAATATGGCAAAACCCCATCTCTACTAAAAATACAAAAATTAGCTGGGTGTGGTGGCACACACTTGTAATCCCAGCTACTTGGGAGACTGAAGTAGGAGAATCCCTTGAACCCGGGAGGTGAAGGTTGTAGTGAGCTGAGGTCACTCCATTGCACTCCAGCCTGGGTGAAGGAGTGAGACTCCATCTCAAAAAATAAATAAATAAATACAAAATAAAACTGTATATTATATCCACATTAAAATCTGAAGACGGCCGGGCGCGGTGGCTCAAGCCTGTAATCCCAGCACTTTGGGAGGCCGAGGCGGGTGGATCACGAGGTCAAGAGATCAAGACCATTCTGGTCAACATGGTGAAACCCCGTCTCTACTAAAAAAAAACTACAAAAAATTAGCTGGGCATGGTGGCGTGTGCCTGTAGTCCCAGCTACTCAGGAGGCTGAGGCAGGAGAATTGCCTGAACCCAGGAGGCGGAGGTTGCGGTGAGCCGAGATCGCGCCATTGCACTCCAGCCTGGGTAACAAGAGCGAAACTCCGTCTCTCTCAAAAAAAAAAAAAAAAAAAAAAATCTGAAGACTACAAAGGAGACTGGGCAGGAAGAGAAACCCACAGTCAAGCAGTCCCTCATTTTTTTCCTCCATGATCATCTTGGGACTATGCTGGGGGAGGGGAAATGAAAGATTTTAAGAGTTCATAAAAGTTAACTTGCAGAGGAACTGGGTGCAGCCTGATTAAAGCTCAGGTTTCTCATGGTGTCAGTGGGGGATTGATCTGGGACTTTGTATCCTAAGAACTCTCAGAGCTGTTGTGCTTGGGAGTGGGGAAGGTCCTAAGTGCAGTATGTTAGGGTAAAGGCTAATAACAAACCCAGTGATACATTGACTTTTAGACAAAGTTCATTTCCCTGGTTATGGTCCAGAGCAGTGGAGTAGTCCTGCTCTATGTGGTCACTTACAGTCTCAGGTTCCTTCCATCTCATTGCTCGGCTGTCCCCTAGAGCAGCAGACACCAACCTTTTTGGCATAAGGGACAGGCTTTGTGGAAGATGATTTTTCCACAGACGGGGATGGGAGATGGTTTCAGGATGATTCAAGCGCATTACATTTATTGTGCCCTTTATTTCTATTATTATCACATTGTAATATATAATTAATGATACAACTCATCATAATGTAGAATCAGTGGGAGCCCTGAGCTTGTTTTCCTGCAACTAGATGGTCCCATCAGGGGGTGATGGGAGACAGTGACAGGTCATCAGGCATTAGATTCTCATAAGGAGCACGCAGCCTAGATCCCTCGCATGCACAGTTCACAATAGGGTTCACGCTCCTGAGAATCTAATGCCTCCGCTGATCTGACATAGGCAGAGCTCAGGTGGCCATGCATGCAAGCGACAGGGAGCAGCTATAAATACTGCTCACTTCCTGCTGTGCAATCCAATTCCTAACAGGCCATGAACTGCTACTGATCGGTGGACTGAGGGTTGGGGACCCCTGTCCTAGAGCACTGTAGTTATTTGTGTGGCTGAAGTAAGATCATTGTCATTTAGGACTCCCAGCTGGCAAGCAGGGAAAGAGCTATGTCCAATGTCTTAAGACCCATATCTGGAAATGTAACATATTAATTTTGCTCTTCTTTCTCTTTCTTTCTTTCCTTCCTTCCTTCCTTCCTTCCTTCCTTCCTTCCTTTTCTTTCTTTCTATTCTCTCTCTCTCTCTCTCT